CCATTCGATACGAACCAAGTAAGGTCCTCAAAAGAGATTTAAAAATCTACACCCGGTGGGAAGCTGATCCATCGGCTTTCAATTTCCCACCCTCTCTAACTTCAATTTCACCTGCCCTTGCCTCTTCTCAACGAAAATGTCACTCTACTCCGGGTGTGCGACATGCCGGTGTACCGTTACTGCCTCTTTCCTGCATGTGCGTGCTTCGCGAAGACCACGGCTGGAGGAGACAGGCCTACTCGTCTCGAAATACACACCCAGAGGCACAGAAGCACACATCGTCGTGTGCTTTACACGCCACACGTGTTCTACGCGTACCGTTCTTTGGTAATAGAACACCCGTCGAAAGGGAGGTATTTCCTTTTCGACGAGCTCCCTTCATTCCCTCTTGCCTCCTCGTCGTCGTCGTCGTTGGGTAACGAGCGGAGACGTCGTTAATTCCGGCGTTTCTAAAGCGGCGTACGCTTCGTCAGTGGCGCAAGTGCCCTTCCGGCTTTTTCGAAAGGCTAGGGTTCGAATTTGCGAGCAATGAAATTGTGGGGATTGATAATCTCGTAGAGAGGATTCAACAGTACGGACATGTGCGAATTCTCTTGTTTGAACAAAGCGTAATTATTGTTTCTAGTGTTTGTAATTAGTAATTCACAGTTAGATGTAGTCTATAGAGAAACGAAACGTGTTATACATTGTTTGACATATGTTGTGTATCAATCTATCAGGATACAGTTTCCTGACAGCTGCAAGGATATTCGTGAAATGTTTAATTAAGGTCCTTCTGTTCGATTTAAAGTGCAGTGTCCTTATTTAATATATTGTAGAATATTTTTCCTTTCCCAATCTTCTGATTGAAAACATTTTCATGAAATATTTCTACATCTAATACTGAACTCAGAAGTATAAAGTGTTTATAAATACGGAATCGAGAGGATTTTTTAACTTATCATGAAAGAATTATAAGTAGAACCGGCGAATTCGAAACATTAACCTCTATTCGAAATGTAGGCGAGAGAAAAATAGAGCAAACACGGAGAGGAAGAGGAGGCGGACGGATATGTGGGAAGGAAGAGAGAGTGAAAAGCAGATGAGGCGGTGGGCGTCGGTTTCTATGTATTTATGCGCGAAAATAGCGGCACTAACATCGTGGCGCAGACTTTAGTCGAAGCCGACCGCGCACTTAGACCGTGTCGTCATCGAGTAGCAGCTGTTTTCATTCAGCCTCGCCCTTCTTAGGCGACTTCCTTTCCAGCAGTTTTAATTAACGTGCTGCACGTCCATATCTCTCCCTCTCTCTCTTTCTTAAGAGGCGATTCTCTTTTTGCAGCTCTCCCTAACATCTTTCTCCTCTCTTTGCGAATCATCCCTTTTACTGCCACTCCCCTCGCTCCCTTTCATCTTCCGCTTCCCGCGGTTTTTGTGTTCCCTCAATTATCCGATCTTCCTCTGACCTCTCGAGTAGTTAACCCAAGAGATCCGTTAACTGATTAGAGCGGCCATTCATTTTTATAAAGATAACGATCGGATATTTCAAATTAAATACAAGAATTATCTGAGGCAATTGCAAAGTTTGCAAAAATCAAACACGACTCAGGTGAAGTGGAGAACCCTGTTCAGCCTTGAACGGCAATTATTTGCCGAGCGCGTTTACTCGTTTCCAGCGGCGGTCCAGCAAAATGTTGAACTTGCCGAGACCTGAACGTTTCGGACTACAAAACCTACGCGAGAAAGATAAAGCGGCTAATACAAACGCCTAGCGCGTTATTAATGACGTAATTCTTGACACAATATCCTACATGAAGGAGCGAGGGAGAGGTAACGTTCGTTACGCTCTCTCAGTCGCAGCGCCGGTTAATTAAAGTCAGCCCCTCGTCCTCGGGGCTACGTTAATTGCCCGCCACTCGGAGAACCGAGGCGTCTGCAGCCGAGAGGTTAATTTAATTAACATCCCAGGCTTTTTCGGACTTTTTCAAGGATTTCGCCAACCACCTGAGCTCGAGGCGCTTTGATACCTTCTATCGTCCACATGACATTTTCATCAAACTTTTCCCTCTAATCTTAGAATTTTCCAACTTCGAATGAACACTCGATTCTGCAACTTTGTTTCTAAGTTATGATTTTAAAAAAGAAGGGTCTGGAGGGTCTTAGAAATGGTATTTGAAAAGTCGAGAAACAGCCCGGAAGGTTGAACGATCCGCGGCTTCTCTCGAGTACACTCGAGACGTATTTTCAACGTCTGAAGACGACGCGAGCAGCAAGTGCGAGTCTGCAGCAGCGAGTTATCTCACGAGCTTTACGGCCAATGAGGGACCTCGAAACGCATTCCTAACGAGCTCTAATTGGAAACTTGGACCCTCGGACCGTCGCTTAAAGCCTCTACACGACAAACCGGACTCCTTTTCGCTAAGACTCCTCTTCCCCCTTTCTCTGTACATCAAAAACAAAATCGTTCTTATAACAAAATTCAATTATTCACAATTGTTTCGTAAAATCATTTTAGAAGTAAGTTGATCGTCATTTACAAGACTAGACACGTGTTTCAATACTCGGCACGTTCCTGGTTCGCCGCGAAATTTATCGACCCATTGGCACTCAACGGGTCTTCCGGTTCAAGAACAAATGGCGGCAATTCCTCGTAGAATTTAAATACAATCGCTACGCGGCACGACGCAAAAGACTGTAAATCGACAAACTACGTTCCTGTTTGCCTAAGCTAGCGTTTGAAAACGATTCTTCGACGTGTTTGGGTGACCCAGTGCGCACCAGATGCCTGATAAAGTCAGCTCTGCTCACTTTGAACTCTTTAACCGCCGCAAGGTTCCTCTGCTCCCTTTTCATTCGACTAGTGTATAGAGTATACTTTCACATAGATGAATCCTTTCGTTTTGCGACAAGATTCGCTAAATAGGACACGTTTTCGAAACCACAGCAAAGATACCATTACATTTAATTGCTCACTGAGATGCAACGTGTGAAAGACTGGTGATCTATATTATATGAGGACTATTGTACGGGTCACGGGTCTGAAAGGTTTACAAGTGTACTTATTTAAAAATGAGCGCTTGGATCCATGGAGCTGCGGTTTGCAGCTGATTCTCGAGCGTGGAAAGCGACGTTTTAAAAATTCACCGCGCGTACGCGTAGGAAGCGGGAAGGGAGCTCGAGGCTTTTTCGTAAGCGACGATAAATATATTTCCAAACGTATATGTATATATGTACGGCCTGGAACGGCTGTTACCACTGCACGCCGCGTTGCGATTGACCCATTTGTGAAACTCGCGCGACTCGCGTTGCCACACACCTTCGCCGTGCACGCGCCACGATTGTTACAACACTTCACGAATCACCACCGCAGCGTACTTACTGACAGTATTTCCATTTTGTCTTCACCGAATTGAACCAGTGAATCAATTTGAAATATATATTCTCACATGAATATTCATGAATTTTTAACAAAACAGTGCAAACATGCAATGTACAATTTACATGAACAATGTGCATGGTTAATGATCAAACAATTTTTAAATAGAATTTAAAGTTTCATGAATTCGTGACACTATGTGATAAAAAATTGATGAAATTCGATTTAAAAATAATACTGACAGTCATTGGTGGAACAATTCCTAAACTGCATTGAAATTTGTATAAATTTGAGACGTAACGTGATGAAAAATGCAGTGTGCAGTGTATAAGAATAGAATTGCGAGCAATTAGATGGACAATCAATGCTGTTATCTTCGAATCTTCTCATACTCTCGTTTCTACATCTGTCGATCTTTATACCCGTATTTACCCGCAACCTCGTAACAATACTCGCGCGACGTTCTCATCCGTGAACGATCTTGCTATTTGAACAATGCGCGGATTCCCAAGTCTGTGCAACGCCGGGTTCTTCCATAATTTTCATTGTTTTACACAAGCTCGAATTGGATTGTGGTTCTTGCAAGCGTTGGCGTGCCGTGTAGCAATTAGAACACGTAGAAGGGGAACGAATTCGGTGGGAATTCTTCGATCGAGGGGCAGGACGAGGAGTTCATGAAAACGGTTCGCGTGATAACAGCGTGAAACGAAGCTGTTGCTCCGACTGGCGACCGCGACTACAAAGGCCTTTGTACGATTTCGTGGCGTACAGCTACGTGCTACGTACACTGGTACTCAAAAGTGCCTGGACACCTGAGCTATAGAATAATTATTTGCAAAACTGTTATATGTTCTATAAGTATTTATATAATAATAGTGGAAGTAAGTTCTTACTATAAAATTTATTTATCTAATTACAAGTTACAATATGATTTACGATGGCTTCTACTTTGTCACTTGCATAATCAAAATAAAAAATACTTCCAGGAACTTTTTAATACTAAGTGATATATTATTGATCTCGAAAATGTCAAAATATTGGATTCTTAAAACACAAGACATATTGATGAGTATGTGTCATATAATACATCCAACCGAATCAATTCGTTATGTATTCATATCATCGTTAATAATTATTTGGTTTTGAAGAGCCACGGAAGTGTCTACTTACTTTTGAACGACAGTGTACGTAGTTTGAAGCCCGGGTATCGGTCAGAGCCCTCGCGTAAGCGGCTTTATCGAGCACACGCGATACACGGGCCTGATAAAACGCGTCGATCGGCTCGTGTAATTCGCGTTTTTCCTTTCCCGCGAGCTAACTAGGAACGTCTCCTTTCGTTTTCATTCAATGTGTAGATAACTTCGGCTTTCTATCTTGGGCTGGCTTGTTGAATATGGTCCTGTTGGGCCATCTCGTCGATGGCTTTCGACGGAACGGCTCGAGACGACGGTGAAAAGGTGCGCGCCTCTTTTCTGTGTCGAGGACGCGCTTACGAAGGAATCTTGAGAAGATGACCCCGATGCGACGATAGTTAAAGCGAGTTTTTCAGGGTTAACGAAAATAGGAAAGGGGTAGCTTTCTATGTACAGAATGGAATTATGCGTGAAGTTCCGCGAATTATATAAATAGTCTTTATTGAAAAATAGAATCTGACACGTACAATTGTTTGCTTGTCAGATTCGCTTCATCGATGACTGTAGAGTTTTTCTGGGTGGATCCAAAAGAGATAAAGTCAGCTTCCGTTTTTTATACAAAAATTATATAGCAGTCTTTCTTGAAAAGTAGAGTTTGTAACTGTGCGCAATTGTTTATATGGCAAATTCGCTGATTAAATCGTTTGAAATCGGTGCACACGCGTGACGTGACACGGTGGAAAAATAAATCTCTGCCAGAGAGGAAGTCGACGTTGGACGGGAGGAGGCGAACGTCGATAGAGCCGCGTCCGCGCGTATTGCGCAAGCGGATCGTCCCGTCCGCTCGGCAAATTGACATTTTCCGTGCGAACAGCGGCGGAACGTGCGCGCGGACTTTTGTCCGTGCCACACGCGTGTGTGTACACACGCGGAGGAACGCAGAACGCGGCTCGAAGGTCGTGGGACCGTGGAAGAAGCAATCAACGGCAAGGAGCAGCTTCTCTTTGTAAAAGGCGAACGCGACGAGAGCGTTTCCAGAAAGGAGAGTCTTTGAGAGACTTTGCCGCGACGAGAGAGTCACTTTGGTCAGATCTCAAGAGAAAAAAAGAGAAGCAGAGAGTGGAAAACGTGTGTGTGCGTGTCTTGGCTTTAGAACTTATCAGGAAGGCGTTTCGTCACTGATCCACCTTCTTTTTCCTCCGCCAGTTGCTCGGAACATTGCTCACGCCTGGCTTAGACGCTTTGCTGATCCCAGAGGCTGTCCGTTGGAAGACGAAGAAGAAAATTTCATTTTTAGAGACGCTTCGTGAAACTGTAATGAGATCAGAATTCTTCGTCGCTTCTCGATCGAAATAAAGATTGTACAAAACAGCAGTATAACATTTTTTCAATGTTTATTAAGCACCGTTTTAGAATGCCGTCGTCTGTTATGAATAGTTAAAGAACTCCCTTTTTTAATCACGCTAATTTAATTGCCCGGCGTACACCGGTCGAGACCGTCGGTTAGGGATTAATTGGTTCCCACATATCGGGTACACAGGGCGAAACTTGTTAATCGGGCTGAAATATTCGGGACGGCGGTGCATTAGAAAATGTTTCGATCACAAAGAGGGCCAGACCCCTTTGTTGCCTGGAAGGCTGCACGGGCCATTTCGAGTCGTTTCTCTCTCTCTCTCTCTCTCTCTCTCTCTCTCTCTCTCTCTCTCTTTCGCCTTTCGTCGTTACCTTTTATGATTCGTTTTTATTTATCGTCGAACCCGAAAGTCTGGTTCACAATGGTCCCGTACGCGGTATGCGGGCCTCTCTGAGTCGTTCCCGCCCTCTTCGCTCTTTCTTCTTCTACGGGGAGTAACAGAGACGGATAGGAATGAAAAATCGACGGCGGTGGTCCCCCCCTTCAGTCTCGTGAAATCGTTTTTCTGGCTACACCGTTACGATGCCTATCTTCCGACGAATTAGCATCTAGCGACCTTTTCGTTTTGCGATCCATCGATCGCGAATCGTGAGCCGATATCATTCGCAAATTATACCAGCCCGCTCTGCTTTCCGCTCTCCAAAGGTTGCGAGGTTCTACAATTTTCTGTTTCAACATCCGTCCATCCTGAAGTCATATAGCAAATGGCATGTAACGTCTATTTAAACGAGAACGAATCGCATGAGAAAGATACTTCCATCAAAAACTTTAAACAATTTTCACGAGGTTCCATTTCATGATTTCATCAACGAGATCTGCCTGACATAATTCGTACAAAATATTTTGCAATGTGTAAAACTTCTGAACGGGGATGTACATAATGGTTCCGGCAAATGGTTGAAAGGGAATAGGCCGAGGATGTTCAGGCCTGTGGTACCCGACCGGTCATGTTTTTCGTAACGCGTCGCGCAACGATCGACAGGTTTCCTTTTTCAATTCGCGTCGAAGGCTTCTTTCACCCGAGTAGGTAGAGAGGAGAGGATGGCTTTCGTAAAAGCTTCGAGGCTATTTCGTAAATTCGCAGTCGCACGTATATTCGCGGGGTCGCCTCGGCTTACAATTAGTGAAAGGAGAACCCGCGATTTCGACACGCGCGTTGTCGACGAAATGCTCGAGCCTGAATTCGCTTTTGAAATTTCGAGGATAATCGACTTCTGACAAGATTTCCAACAACGGAGGATGCTCCACGCGGCGTGTAATAACAGAACTGTCAGTCGGTTGCAGCAACGTCTGTCGATCGTTGTGAAAATGATCCAGCTTGCATCGTCGCTTCGCGAAACAATAAGATTCGAAAGGGAAACTCGGCGAGCGACAAGGACGTTAACGATCTCGTAATTTTCATCCTCCTCGACTGCGAAAGATCACGCGCTACCATAAAAAGAGAGAAAAGCTCGGAGAACGTTTATTGCAATCGATGATCGTCTTGACTCACTCGCCGGGAATGCTAGTGACGTCCCAAAAAAAACAACAGTGCTGCTGCTGCTGCTGCTGCTGCTGCTGCTGGTACCTCGAACCCGATGAATATTAATAACGTTAATCAAGAAGAAACTGGTTCCTCGATTCGTTCGGAGAAGCGGTACAACCGGCAGGGCTTGTTGCGTGATCGATTCGCTGAACTTCGCCCTTCTCTTTGTTTTTCATGCTCAATCAATGACTGGTAACTGTGCGAATTGAAAGGAGCGAAGTACAAGCTCTTGGGATGACAGAAGAAGTAGGAATAGGAAGAAAATGAGAAAAATCGGAGCGACGTAAGAATTTCCAACTCGTTCCTACCGGCTGATCTCGTCAGTCGGAGAAGAAAGAGGAGCAGGAACATGAGTCGAGAAGACTCGGGCTCGAAGTTATAGCCGCTTCTCGCACTTGGCACTCAGCACTCAAATGCGTCCCACCGTTCCGCGTTCCTTATACATATTACGTTATGTACAGGTTCTATAAGTTTTATACTTTAAGTTTGAAAAAGAAGTGAGAGAGACTAATAAAAAGAGATAAATAGTGAGAATATTTGTAACCTAAAGATAAAATAAAAAGAGGAAGAATGTACGAAAATTGTAATTACAAGTAATTAATACGTACTTAAGTTACGAATATTCTCACTATTTATCTCTTTTTACATCTTTCTCATTTCTTTCTCAAGCATCAAGTATAAAACTTATAAAATTTTGTACATAACGTAATATGTGTAAGGAACGCGGAACGGTAGGACGCACTTGAGTGCTGAGTGCCAAGTGCGAGAAACGACTATAACTTCGTACCCCGGTTCCATCCTGCGGCGAGAGGGTCCAGATAGGCCGCAGATTCCAGACAAAGAGGACAAAGGCCCAGATCTGGCCGCGCCTGTGGTGGCCGTCTCGAAAGAATTTCACCACATAGAGACCGGCAGAGGCGGAGGAGCGCGGAACGCTGTGTGAACGCTATACACGCCTCGTGTGTTCGTGATAAAGCCGCAAGGCTTCCTCGCATGTGTTAGTTTCCCCTCCGACTATCCGTGTGCCTCGTCCATGGAATACTTTCACTGGTTTCACGGCCAACAGACACGTTTATACGATGCTAATAATACGCCCGTCCGTCGCGTTGCGTTGGTACCATTTGCTCCAATCTGAACCTCCTTCCTTGATTCCGTACTGTTTCCCATTATTTCTTCAGCTCGCTATTATAGATCGCATTTATCTCTTCGAGACTATGCATTTTTCTATGTGTGCTGCAAGAATTATGTATCTCGCACTTTTCATAACTTGCTAATCTAAAATTTAAATACTGTCCCACTTATAATAGTACGATGATAGAAATAGTACCTTGATTTTTTTTTACTAATCACTCATGGATTATAAATTTTTATCTTGCCGATCGGTTGATGAACTTGGTCGATTTTCTTCTTGTGATCTTGACCTCAATCGGTCATATTCAACAGGCAGGTTGGCTGCTCCAGGAATTTCGTTACCTCCGCAATAATTGCGGGGTTGTTTTGAGAATCGATTATGAACTCTGGCAACAGTACAAACGACTTAATCCCCTATCGAATATAGACGTAGTGCAATTGGCGTGCGCGACCAGGAAGAGAGGAGAAGGTGCTTGTGCTATTGTCGTCCTGGTAGCAGGATGTGTCGACGACACGTAGCCGCGCATCCGCCGGAAGACGCGTCTCTCTGTCTCCGATGAGATTACATTCAATACACTATACTATATCGATGACCCTATCCCTTTACTCCAATTTTTTCTACCCTTCTTTTGTTATTCGATTTTTCATGAAGAAGAGCAAACTTGAAATTATTTCGCTGAAACTTTCGCAATTTCAGTTCCACCCACAAGAGTCCGAAGTTGCGAAACTCTCCTCGAATAAATTTTTCCACCTTGAAAGCTGAGAGTCGGGATCTGTTTCCTAAGAACATCTGTTCTGTGTTAGCCGACCGATTATCACGAACGCTCGAAGAAAGATCTTCTTTGTTCGGCTGTGTGTAAAAGCTAAAGTCAGGTAAAAACGAGATATCTTCAAGGTCTACCAAAAATTCCGGCTGACACGATCGACACGCTAAAAGCTTGGTATTCATGCCTCCTCCACGTTGTTATCGCGAAGCCTAGTCACATATTGTACGCGTGAGCCAACTGGGAGCGGAGCTTTCCGAGAAACCGATGAGTCTCTGATAAATTTTCAAGCATTCGGTTTCCGCGAGACATCGTTTCCTGTAGTAACCGTCAGAAATCCTAGTCGCTAATTTCCGGTTGAAGTCTGCGAATCAATGCGAAACCTTTTAACATTTCCCAGTGATTCGTATATTCCCCCGCTTTATATAATTACATATGTTTGTTTCACGTTGTCCTCCACAAACTTTCATAAATCTGAAAGTGTATGGAAGTTTGTTCCATTAGTTGTAACGAAGCAACAAGTTGAGCATCTTTGATAACGTTTAAAATTGTTATACGAGTTAGGATGGAGTTACTGTTACACGGCTTCGCAAACACGTGCTGATCATTAAATTAGGTAACAATCGGTAGACGAACCTCGCTTCCACCGGCTGTCGCGGCTACCTTACCACCTCCTCGGTTATCCGTTCCTCTCCCTACCATCCTTAGTCTCTGTGGTTGCGTTCTCCGTTCGCTTCGCTTGGTGGGGTAGCAAGGATGTGTGGAAGCCAAGGCACACGGTGGGGTCGGGTACCAGACAAGGTCACGGCTACCAACAGCAGCTAGTTTCTTCTCCGTCGTCGCTGCACCGTTGTCTGTTCCCTTCGAGGCGAGCAGCCATCTTGGGGAATGTGTAGCGTCATCGAATGCACCGAGAATAACAATAAATTATCTCTTGGTCGCCTCTCACCTTCCACCTCCTTCCTTTTCGTTCTCGTCTGCGATACCGAATATCAAGGATTTTCCTGTGTCCAAACTTTCAGTCGAGACTTGGTTTGCAATTCTCCTGTAATTGTTAACAGCTGGTGTAATTCTTGCTCCGAAATTCGTTCAAGCGTGGCTCCTCGCAACCCTCGCTTCCATCTCTGAGTGATAGGGAACACGATAATCTCGTTGAGAAACAAATTCCGAAGGGAGTGGCCCCTCCGTGGAGATAAAGCCGGTGGCGGACGTCGGTCACGTCCCTCTCTCGTTATCGTCGATCTCCCGATGCCTGACCTTCTCGTTTCTGAATTCATAAAACCACTTTACCATTTTCCCCACTTTTCGACTAAAACGTCAAGGACTCCCGATTCGACTTTCGAAATTCGATCTCTATCGATTAATCGAGTTTATGTAACAATAACAAAAAAATAAACGGTATTTTCGATCTCTTCATATTTTAACGATCGGAGCATCTCGACGCGGATCGGAGCAGGGGGTGGGGTTGGCAGAAGCACCTTAATCCAAGGGGCCAGAAAGAGAAAACAATGGTGATTGTCTCGAAACGTTTACAGGCTAA